GTTTTCTGTGCCATCTTCTCTTTTTACTTGCTATATAATAAGAGCCTGAATAAATTGCATTAATATTCGAATTCCAAGTTGATGCCAGGGCTATGGGCAGGCTTACTAAAAAAATGGACATTTCTGAGCAAACGGATCGCTTTCAAATCCTGACTTGACTGACTGTATGCCAAGCAGACTTTGAGTTGCAAAGTAGGTTGACCCAGGCTTGGGGAAGTCACTGGACTTAGCTTTTTTGATCAGTCTGCAAAAGCGCAGTTTCAGACACTGTTCAGATCTACATATGTTAAGTTCTTCTGGGTAATTTATGAATTCCTGAGAATTCAAATGCTGAATTGTGCTATCCTAGAAACTGATAGAAGAGACTCTTAAGCAGTAGTGCTGAATCACAAGTCAGAATTATAATGTTAATGGAGAGAACCAGTCAGTAAGTCCCCATTTTACGGGAACTTTATTACTTCAATCAACAATTGTTCTTTTCATTTTCAAGAAACAGCAAGGGGCAAACAATAAGATGCAATGGAGAGAGGGTAGATTGCAGATTGCAAAGTAAGTGAAAAACACTTGAAAGTGCCAAAGATGAGGGTAGGAAGAAATAGATCCTGGACTTTGTGATGCTAATGCGGGTCAGAAATTACACTGTATGACTTCCCACTGCCTGAAATAAAACCCCTTTCTAAAACCCAGAGAGTATGCCTTTTGATAAAACGCATTCTGAGATCTTTTTAGCGAAGTCACTGACATCTGCATTATCATCTGCAGAGCAACCTGTGGGGGGACTTTGAGATAGGTGTGTGAAGGAAATGGGGATAGACCATTTTCTGAAATATTGGAAATAAAATGTAAAAAGAGATTTAGTAGATGACCAACTCATAAAGGGACTTGTAAGACTGGGGTTTCACGGCGAAATTTTGCATGTGTCACACATCTGAAAGTTTTTGGTTTGTTTTGAATGGATTCCTTCTCAGGTGTAGCTGAGGTGGACCTAGGAATCTGGATTTTTAACAAGCTTCCCGAGAGAGACAGGTGCAGGCGATTTGAGCCACATTCTGAGACGTAAGAGTTGTAATGTCTTTATTGATGCTATCAGTGCTGCCAACAGTCACATGACTTGTGTAGTAGTTTTTAAAGCTCTGTACTTTTCGCTTTACCAATACAATCTAGACAAAGATAGCTCCGCTTTTCCCAAGTACTTTCCATTAGGTTGAAATTTTATATTAGCCCCCCTCCACCTTAAAAATCAAACCAAATTGGAATTTGATAATTACCTAGAATATGGCTGTAATAAAATGGATGTGAACATAGATGATGACTTGGGAATAATAAAATTTTAGAGCTTAATTTAGTCATTTGAAGAAAGACATCAATGTCACTTTTCAATTTGAGTCCCACTTTTGGTTTAGCCCAAGGTTTCTGTGAGTGCTCATGAATTTTTTCTTACATTTGAATAGTCCCTGTATGCTTTCAGTTCTGAGAAGACATCTGAAATGCTTTCAACAAAATGAGAAATAGAAGTCCAAGGAATAACTGACTTTTCCATACAATGCTCTGCATTCTTTAAAATGACAAGACTCTAAATTTGAATCCTTTGCTTTAAAATGTCCTCACTGGAAGACCATTGTTTCTGAAAATTAGAAGCTGGGAAAGCAAAGATTTTGACAGTTTTCAAACTGATTATCTTCAGGGTAAAAATAATGATATGAGCTGAGTAAAAAAAAAAAATTAATTTGCATGGAGTTTTAAAACTGAGTCAGTTTTCTATGAGCACTCAAAATATTGTTCTTTTCCCCATGAGAAACCTCTTTTTCTTGAAATGAGGAGAGTAGTTTAATGAAGGCAAGTTATTAATGAAATAATGGGAGGAGAACTTATTAATAAGACCACTGGCCCAGTGCATATGTAAAAGTGTCAGTCAGACAGGTGGCAAAGGTGATGTTGCTGACAGGGTCATTGCAATTCAAAGCCTGGGGAAACAGTCATGGAAGGTCAACAATTGAATTCATGTAGAATAAAAATGAGCAAGACTAAGTGGTGCCTCAGAACTAAGTCATGCAATAGGGGGAACAAAAAATAAGCTATTAAAATGACAAAGATTTTTTTTTTTTTAAGTGTGCACAATTCCTATCTGCTCAGTCTTCTGCTGCTTAGGTCTTGTAATCATAGCTCTAGAAGGTAATTCAGAGCTTCTAAGCAGTGGGACTTAAAAATTAACTTCCTTCTCCAGACAACTTAGTGTAGATAGAGGAAGGGTAGGTTTCCTTGGATTTGTTCCAAGCTCTTAATCTTGGAAGCCATCACCTCACTTAGGGATTTCCTTCCAAGCACAAATGTTTAGATTTCTTTTTCCTAAGCTTCCTTCTATGACAAGGTTCTCTATGTCTGATATTCCAGCTCTTCCTATATTTTTAAAATGTAACCCAAAGTAATAGACATTCTTGAAAACATAAATAACACAGTACTTATGAGACTATGGATAGGAGGATGTGCTTTCTAAAGGCGGATTTCCTTACTGGAGGATATCTGCAACCTTACTGAGTAAAGAGGAAGGAGAAGACTCAGAAGAACAAAAGAAGTCTTCAAATGTTAGAAAGTCTCTAATAGGAAATGAGGATTGGCTTTATTCTGGGTAGTTCTAATGGGTTATACCAACCCATGAAAGTTACACATAGTTTTGTCTCAATACAAAGGAAAATTTTCTGAAAGTTAGGACATTTCAGAGTCACTGTGAATCTCATTGGGAAAGAGTATTTAACCCAGGCAGGATGATTATTTGTTGGTAACTTTTGGCAAAAAGCTGAGAAGCACTGGATGAGAAATTGGAAAAAATGACTCATTTCTGCTCTTTTCAACTCTGGGATTATATGATTATATGATACTATGATTCTAACAAGCAACAAATAGCCTGATCACTCAGACTTTTCATTGAATTTATAGATAATTAAAACTTTATTACTCTCTCCCAGCGTCTTCCTGTTCTTATGAGTTTTAAAAAGTGAAAAAAATGTCAATCATTATTTTAATTTTGACTTTATAGTATTATACAGTAGACATTTTATGGATAACTATTGAGATAGCATTAAAAATTCTGTAACATTATTATTTTTGTTATTATTGCATTGGATTATCATGTAGACTCCTTGGATATTTAAAGGGAATCATAGTCATGGTGTTGGGTGAGAACACCAATATGCTTAAGGCTGTTTCTTTATGGGGGATTATTTGTTAATTCTTGTATATTCATGATACATTCTTAAGATATCCACTTAATTAGAAACTAGGACAATACCCAAAGCTGTGAGGTTGTTTACAATAATGGGCTGTTTAGAGAGTTAGAGAGTGTGAAAGATAAATGAAAATTAAATTAGAAACAAGGCTCATTTTGTCAGAGGTGATCCAACCAAAGCGACTCCATCTTGAATAGGGGCTGATTAAAATGAAGTTGAGACCTGCTTGGCTATGTTCCCAGGGAGTTAGGCATTTTTAGTCATAGGATAAGATAGGAAGTCAGCATTACTGGTTTCACAAGTTACAGGCCACAAAATTCCCTCTGATAAAATGAGATATGGTCAAGAAGTCAGCCAACAACCCAACAAAACCAAGATGGCAATTAAAACGATCTCTGGTAATACCCACTGCTCATTATGTGGTATTTATAATGCATTAGCATGCTAAAAGACACTCCCACCATGCCCAGCCTGCTTCTTTTTTTCTAATTGTAATAGTACATCCTACTTATACACACATACAGATGATTGATTTATTAACTTTGGAATTTTAAAATTACTTCCTGCTATATAGATAATGATAAAGCTCACAATACCATATCTAACAGCTGGTTAAATAACAAGTTCAGACTTTTGATACCGAAGTGCTTTATATTGAAAAGTGAATGAGATACCCTATTTACTGATTTCTATCTTTCCATATATACATGGTATGTGGTCTGTTTCCCAACATGTCTTTTTCAGTAAAACCTTACTGATGAGCATGACACATAATTTCTCCATTCTTGCATTTATTTATTCATTTACTCAATAAATCTTTATTCAGTACCTAAGTACTATGCTAGGCATTGGGAATAGTAGTCCTGATCAATATTTTCCCTCACAGAGCCTATTTTTGTTCTGACTTGACAGTCTCTTTGCTTTTTTACCTATAGTCTATCTAGTGAGACAGGTGTTGAACAGGTTATTACAATCGTGTTGTATGCTATGAAGAAGTACAGGCAAATCTGCAAATGTGTCTTCAGGCACGCTAGAAGGGTACCTCTAGTTACCCTGGAGATCGGGGTACTTATAGATGACTCAACGCTTTATCAATGTCTCTCAGCATTACTGCTTTCACTAGATTTAAGAAATTAGAGTTTCAATCATTATTTTAATTTTAAGTTTATATTATTCTATATTTAGCCTCGCTGAGAAAATGGCATTTAAACTTAGACTTGAAGGATGAAGACGAGTTAGAGAAGGAGCTGTAAGCATGAGATGGGAAGAGTATCCTGGACAAGGAGCCATCATAAAGCGAGAACTATCATGGTGCATTGGAGGACCAGAAAGTGACCCCACATCTTAACGGAACTTTACAACAGAGCTACATTGACTTCATCTTTCAAGCGCTCGTCACGATTCTTCCGTTATTTAATTTCTTAAAAATAGGACTTGCAAGCTAAAGAAAATCATGCCATCTTTCCATTCAAATAGGAAAGGAGGTGGTAGATAAATGATGCTAAGTGGTACATGTCAGATATCCCTCTCAGCACTTACAAATACCGTGGGTACATGTCTTAGCTCTCCTTTTGTGGGCAGACAAACCTCTGTACCCATCTAGAAATAGGTTTGCTATTTTGTTATGGATTACTTCAAATATCTCATGAAAATCATCTGACGTGGAGGCCAAAACAAAGCTGGTCTAAGAGCGTGTGTTGGAGCAGAATAATAATGTGCTGTTCAGAATTCAGTCAAAGCTTCCTCATGTCCTTCTGCATGTCACATGCAGGATACAGGAACTGGGAGAGAGCTGAGTAAGCATGAAAAGATCACTTTTAGAGTCTCCATTACTGCCTCTCCTTCCAGTCCCCAGCACTGTAGAAGCACAGATGAGAGGAGAGTTATGGATTGAGCGTGAGTACCAATACAACACTTTTAAGTGTTATTTCCCCCTTGAAGCATCAGTGAATCTAAGAACTGAGGAAGGAAGAGAGTGCAGGTGTATAACCTCCCACTTGTTTGCTCTCTAAAAACCCTTTACAGTGTCTTCTCCTCCCTCCTCTCTTCTGATTTCATATTTAATATTTGACAAGGTAGAAAGAAGAGAAAATGCTGTCAGCTCAGGATAAAAATAAACTAGTTCATATCTGCCTACTTTCATTTTTGGGGCAAAACTGTGGCATTTGTATTAGATTGAGGACCCATATGTAGGAAGATGGAACACCAAAATACTGGGGACAATATGAGGGGTGATGTTTATGGGCAAAATGGGGTTTCTGATTATAAGGTCCATGGTTATCACATTAAAAATGGGGACTTACATTATAGATGTACACTTAAAATATTGAATTTCCCTATGTTGCTGTACTGAATCCACACATCAACCTATGATGATTTAATGTTAGCCAGTAGTTAATTGTATTTACTCAGGCAAATTTCTTAAATTCTATCTAATATTAACTTAATGCAATAGAGTGGAAGGCAGTTTATTCGTAACGTCTGCAAAATGATTGATCTTCCTGTTAATGATATTTCTGGAGTTTAGTTATCATAACTCTAAAGTAACACTGTTCAATAATATAATGTAATCCACATATATAATTTAAAATTTTTGTAGTCACATTAAAAAAGCAAAAGTAAATAGGTAAAATTAATTTTAAGGACATGTTTTATTTCACTTAATATAGCCAAACTGTTATCATTTCAGCATGTAATCAAAGTGAAAAATTACTGAGACATTTTACATTTTTCCCCACTGTCTTCAAAATCTCATCTGTAATTACACTTAAAACAAATATCAAACTAAATGCTAAGTGTTCATCATAACTACTTCATCTGTTTTTACATTTCATAAAAGATACAGTTGAAAAAGTAGATTTATATAGAGAAAGTAAAAAGATCAAAGATGGGGGAGACAGAGGGATGAATAGGCAGAGCATGGAGGATTTTTAGGGCAGATACACGATTCTACATATTTAACTACAGTATGATACTATAATGGTGACTATGTGTCATTATACATTTGTCCAAACCCATAGAATGTTCAACATTAAGAGTGAACCTTAACGCAAACTATAAACGTTGATTGATATGTCAGTGTAGGCTCATCAATTGTAACAAAAGTACCACTCCACTGCAGGGGATATTGATTGGGGGAGGCTGTGGAGGCAGAGGGTGAACTTTTGTACTTTTTACTCCATTTTGCTGTGAACCTAAAAACTGTTCTAAAATATAAGGTCTCTTAAAAATTAAATTATGAACTGACCAGTGAATTTTCTCCTCAAACTTCCATTCTTACATTATAACTTCTGAGAAACTTAATAATGTTTGATATGATCTAGAGTTTGCATAATGTCTTTTGATTTTGAAAATTCTTTCTTCCCTTTAAGTCTTGTCAGCTACTGTGTAAACGCCTCAAAACCAAGTCCAGAACCTTGTTTCATAGCCTGTGTTCACAAACTGCATGTAATCTCTGTATAATCATTTGTTTCTCTCTCTGTCTTCCTCTAGGCGCTAAGCAATTCCAAGGCAGAGATTAAATCTTGCTTGAATTAGTAAATGGAAGGCTTAGTAGTCAGACACAAAATAGGTCTCAATAAGTGTCCGTTGAATGGTGGAAAAAAGCAGATTCACATAACCAAGCTGTTCCAAACATACTGTCAGTTTTACAATCATGGAACTGGGCATTTGTCGTTAGATTTAAATTAATGAAATTAGATACAATTAAAATTTTGTTTCTCCATTCGACCAGTCACAGTGAAGTGCTCATTAGCTGATATGGGTTGGATACTTGTCCCCTCCAAATCTCATGTTGAAATGTGATCCCCGTTGTTGGAGGTGGGACCTATTGAGAGGTGTTTGTGTCATGGGGGTGGATTTCTCATGAAGTTTTGTACCCTCCCCACGGTAATGTGTGAATTCTCACTCTATTGTTTCTGAGAGAACTGATTGCTAAAACAAGCTTGGCACCTCCTCCCCTCTTTCTCACTTGCTCTCCCTCTCACCATGTGACACGCTGGCTCTTCTTTCTTTCTGCCACCAGTAAAAGCTTCATGAGACCCTAACAGAAGCCCAGCAGATACTGGCACCATGCTTGTACAGCCTGCAGACCTGTGAGCCAAATAAGCCTCTTTTCGTTGTATATTACCCTGCCTCAGGTATTCCTTTATAGCAACACAAAATGGACATTAGCCACATATGGTTAAGGCTGTCACATTGGACATGCAGATTGATGTATTATAAAGATAGAAAAATGGAAAAATTATCCCAGCTCCAACATCTTGTGGACAATTTTCTTTTTCCCTTCTCAGTCTGTGAATTTGCAAGTGATATATATAACAAGGATTTACAACATTTTTTAATGTGCCGAGTCATATGAACAATAAATAACTGTTACCACTTGTGCTTCTGTATTTCCAGTGACTCATTCGCTGGGACTCCCACCTTCCTGTCAAATTGGGCCATGGTGAAGTCAGTGAAGATTCATTAGCATTTCAGATGACACCATTATTTCATGCAGCATTCTAGAACAAATTTGCTTTTGTCATTACTGGCATGCACTTTGATATGGATCATTAAAAAAATCCTTAATAAAAAAGTTTCTCTCTTAGGAGCTTATAGTTGAGATTCCTGGGTAAAATCCAACTCTTGTGTCAAAAACTGATGTTGCTAGCTAATCTGAGTTTGTCACCTCTCAGAGTCTTATTAGAGAAGTAGAAATGGATTTTCCTTAGCAATCTAGAGGATTAATATAAGTGATCCCCTACACTTTTTTTTGGAGAAGTACAAGGGAAAATGTAGATTTAAACAAAGAAAATGCATTGCAGAAATAACTGAATTATTACACACTTTCCTCAGGGATTAGCAATACCCCACTACAGACAAATTGGATGCCTGGATCTATAGCACATGCTCTGTGAAGCCAAGTGCTTGTGAGGGCTGCTTTCTGGGTCCTTCTGTTCTGTTACAGCGATTTCAAATACCATGGCATCTCCTATCAGGATTTTGCAGACTTGGGTTGGACAGAGCAGTAGATATCAGGCCATTCAGTGCATTTCACAAAGCACTGATTGGAAATGTAAGACATTGATTTGTGTGCAGTACAGAACAAAATGTACGTAAGACATAGCCCTTGACTTTAAAGAGCATTGCTTGTCTGTAAGATGAGTCCCCTAATGAAGTCAGTACATTATAAGTATACTTTTATATTAATAGCTTCAAATTCTAGGCTCTAGGGGAAACTCTTTTCTTTTCTCTGCTTTTCTTCCTTATAATGAGAATTGAGAACTAAAATACGACTTGATGTTCTAGCACAGTATCTTCCACTTCTTATGTCCTCAAAGTTCTGAGCAGAATTGGATTGGAAAATCCCTGTCAGCATCCATTATCTCTTGAGTTTAAATTAAAAGTCTTTTCCAGGACCTCAGAAGGAACTACACAATCTCGTCCTTGCCTATCTCTTCAACTTCATTTCTCTCCAGCTACATCAATCTCTTGCACTTTCTCAAACACACCAAAGGCTATGATCTTTGCATTTTGTTGTTGTTCTCTCTGCCTGGAATGTCCTCTTTACATAACTGACTGCTTTTCATCAGTCAGTTGATATGATATGACATCTCTTTCTCTTTGTCAAAAAAAGCAAAGATGCTTTCTCTGACCACCTTGTCTAAAATAACATCCCTCAGCTCCAGTTTCTCTGTAACCTCTTTCTTTTTTATTTTCTTTACAGGACTTATCACTGTCTCTATTCATTTACCATTTCCCCTGCTGAAATCTAAGGGTCATGACGGAAAGGACTTTGTCTCATCTGGTGAAGTGGTTTGACTATGTCCCCACCCAAATCTCATCTTGAATTCCTGCGCGTTGTGGGAGGGACCCAGTGGGAGGTAACTGAGTAATGGGGTGGGTCATTCCCCTACTGTTCTCGTGATAGTGAATAAGTCACATGAGATCTAATGGGTTTAAAAAGGGAAGTTTTCCTGTACAAGCTTTCTTCTCTTGTCTGCTGCCATGTGAGACATACCTTTTACCTTCCACCATGATTGTGAGGCCTCCCCCGCCATGTAGAACTATAAGTCCAACAAGCCTCTTTCTTTTGTAAATTGCCCAATCTCAGGTATGTCTTTATCAGCAGCATAAAAATGGACGAATATATCCAGACTCTAACGTCAGTTCCCTGCAAAATAGAGATGTCTCATATTATCTGCTTGTTGCAGTTCATTTGAGCTGCTATAACAACATACCTTAGACTGGGTAATTTAGAGACCATGGAAATTTATTTCTCACCCTCCTGGAAGTTGGAAAGTCCAAGATCAAGGCAACAGCAGATTCACTGTTGGTGAGAGATCTCTCTTTGCTTCACAGATGGCATCTTCTCACTGTGTCCTCATATAGTTGGAATGACTGGGTGGTTCTCTAGGGTTTTTTAAATAAAAGCACAAATTTCTCTCTCTATCTTTATGACCTAATCACCTCCCAAAGGCCCCACTTTTTAATATCATCACCTTGATTAGGTTTTAACATGAATTTGGGGTAGAGGAACGCAAACAGACCACAGCTGCACTCAATAAATATCTGTTGCATTAATGGATGTTTTGCTTGTCTAAGCATTCACTGCTGGTGGAGCCTGAATAAGTCAGATACCATTTTATAATAATAGTTTCTTCACTCATGGGAGTTTTACACAGATATATTGAGATAATATCTGTAAAAAATTAAAAATTGCTATGTATCATACAATATAAGTATGGCTATTTTTTCTACTCAGGTTAGCTGGACCCCCACAGAGCTATCTAGCTTCAGAAAACTCAGTTTCTGCTTTGCACAGCAAAAATGTGCACCTCCAAGAACCAAAGTAATTGGTCTTTGTAAAAGGAGGGAGCAGAGACTGGATTTGTTGTAAGATGGTAACTCATCCCCAAGGATTCCATGGTCTTTTGTGTGTCTGTTGGTGAGGCAAAAAGGGGTTTAGAACTCCCATACTCCCATTTCAACTTTCTGTCCACAGAATGACTTTGCATTTAGCCACTAGATTTTGTCAGCATGGGCATTATTTGGCTTCTGAAAGGTATATGTAAGAAAACTGAAAATGAAGGGCAGCCAGCTGCCACTTTTTAGATAATGACAGTAATGATGTGGTAAATTGGTATATTCTTCAAGGAAATATTCAGGGAGATTCATTTCAAACAAGCCACCTTGTATTAAATGGGATCTACTTAAAATAATTCTGCAGCGCAGGTGGACATCATAGCTGCAAACTAATAGCTATATAGAAACACACAAAAATGAAGATGGCTAAATTCTATCTTTGAGTCCCAACAGTGTTCACATGATGCCCAGGAAAGAAAATAAGGGAGTAAATTGTCAGCTTACAGTGCACATTAATTGGAAAGTTAATAAAACCTTTTCATTCACTTAAACTGATGGTGGTACATAACCACGTGCTAATAAACAGAGGAGAAGCAGCTTGCTGTGTACAGTCATTTCTTAGTAAGGTTAACAAACTACATTAACCATTCACTCATCTGTAACTTGTAATTAATCACTCCTTGAAAATTACATTGTATAACAAATGAGGACAGACATGATTCATTAAAACTTCTAATTAATTCTATTTAATACTATTTCATAGTTCATTGATAAGTGCTGAGAGAAGGATTACACTGTAGGATATTTGATGCATTGCTGCTGAAGAAGTAAACAGGGGGAACATTATCTAAAATGAAACATGAATACTTGCAAATGAAAATGTCAGATGTTTATCATCCCAGTGCCTGGTTCTATACTCAAGGGTCTCCCAGCATTACCAGTGGAAAACTCCATTTTCAGGGCTGTATCAGTTGGGTGTAAAATCTCTTCTGGGTTCAGCTGGATGCTTAGCATCTCAAGCTGGGGATGAGCTGAGTCTACTTTGTTTTTCTAATAAATGTTCAGGGCTGCTTTGTGGGCTAATAATAACACTATTATTAAGCAGATATATCCACATCTGGAAAAAGATCGATTGATATAAGAAGACAAATACTTAACAGGCAATTATGGCGTTGGGGTCATTTAATTGCTGTGTGTGTGTGTGTGTGTGTGTGCGTGTGTGTACATGAGGGTGTGTATTAGTAGATATTAAAACAGCAGGGATATTTGTGTCAAGAAAAGCCCGGTACATTAACTTTAATGTACTTCTTTTCAGAGAAAATAAGGCAGTGAAGTACATGGTTACAGCCTGGGCTGAGGAGAAGACAATCACCACTAATAAGTGAATAATGTATCTTTTGAAGTTTAAGTTTGGAATAACGTATTGTTAGCTTTTTTTTTTTTTCACTTTGCCATCAACATAGTCTTTCTCCAAAATGTGTTACAAGAACCATTAGTGGTTCCATCGTGTAAATGGCAAGGACTCGGAGAGAGAAAGATTCACAAAATATACACCTAAAATAGGTAGTTGTATCATAAGTTTACAAAGAACTCTTACAAGTTAATAATAAGAAGACATCCAGCTCAGTTAAAGAGTTGAACAGACACATCAAAAAATGAGAGGTATAAATATCCAGCAGGAAGATGCTTAACATCATTAGTAATTGAGGAAATAATAATTAAAACCATCATAAGAAACTGATATCTATTAGACTTGTTAAAAGTAAAAAGATTGACAATACCATGTGCTGATAAAAATGTGGAATTCTCATATACCACTGATGAGAATACAAAATGGTAAACCATGTTGGAAAACATTTGACAGTTTTTTTTTTTAATGTGATAAGCATACATCTACCATACAACCCTGTCATTCTACCCCTAGATGTTTACAGGAGAGTAATGAACCACTTGTTCAGACAAACACTAGTACATGAATGTTTAGGTGCTTTATTAGTAATGGCCCCAAACGATAAGCAAGCCAACTGCCCATTAACAATTGAATTGATAAACCAGATGTGGTACCCTCCATACAACAATGAAATACTTCTCTGAGGGAAAAGCAGAACTAACAACTGTCAACATGGATGGAAAAAAAAAAAAAAACTAGACCGAAAGACTTCAGAGTGTATGAAAGTCTAGAACATGCAAACTAATCTGTACTGACAAAGAGTAGACCAAGCTTTGTCAGGGACTGTGAGCAAATGGAAGAATGATGTACGAAGGAGTCCAAGGAGTCTTTTGGGGCTGATGGAAGTGCTCTGCCTCATGACAATGGTGGTTGTTCAAACCATCACAACTCATCAAATCTTCTACCTTAAATGGATGTGACTTATTGTCAGCACATTATCTTTAATAAGTTGACTGTTACAAACGAGTTATAAGTCTGATTGATTCATCTCCCAATCAAAATAATAAGATTCTTTAGTGAACAATTACTTTGAAGCCTCATCTAAATTGCATCTACATCAAAGCAGGTGAGATAGAGAAGGCTGTTGACACAGGAGAGGAAGCAAGTTCTGAAGAGTTGATAGCTATTTTCTGGCCCTGAGCTGATGGGCATCTAATTAACATGTTTCATTCTTCAGGCAAGGTGACTCTGCAATGTCTTCTTAAAGTGAGCTACTTTTGAAAATATTAAAGTAACCTTGTGCCCCTAGAGAGTAAAGTACACTACGATGGAGTCCCTGCAGTGTAGTTCAAGGATTGGCATTTTAGGCATTTGATCTGTGCCCTGAGCTTCTTTCTACCTGTAAAAAAAACTCAAACTGATTTTCAGGCTTTCACATCCCAGCACCTTTCCACGTCTGAACCACTTCATGATTTTAGAGCTGTTTCTTGAAGAGCCTGCTTATACACCCCTGAACTTAGAAGTTAGGAAAAAAACAAAAAACAAAAAACCCACCACCACCACCACCAGCAACAACAAAACAATAAGAAAAGACACAAAAATATATACATATTAACCTCAAAGGAAGTAAATCTGGATTTCTGAGTTCTGTACCTACTAACTTGGGTAAGTCATTTAACCTGCCTGGGCCTCAGTTTTGTCATCTCTAAAATAGGAATAATAAGACTTCTGTTACTGGGAGGCTAAAGGGAACAATATATGTGAAGCCTGAAGCCCGTTTGGAGGGGTGTGTACGTGTGTGTGTGTGTGTGTGTGTGTGTGTGTAACAACCCTCCAGGGATTATGTGAGGGGATGAGAGGGTAAGGAGGGGGCATTCAACACACGGGGTCTCCAATTTTTGCTTTTAAGGTGTCTATTGCTGGAAACATGTTTGTTAAAATTCATAAATCACAGGATTTGATAAGAAGTTTTTTTTTTACCCAATATTATACAACTAAAAAAGTGAGGAACTCACAAAAACACTAGTCTTCATTAATACTTCTTTTATATATTAGGGTCATGCATAATAATGCATTTTTTCAACTAATATTATTCTTAATAATGCCATCATCAAATTTAATTAACATTTTTCTATAAGAAAAGCAGATAGTCTCAGACTTCTTCAGTGGTTTATAGAGCAGCTTAAAGGCAAGATTTTTGCAGTTCTCAAAGTCACAGCCAGTACTTATGAAAGCCTAGTACAAATGTGTAGAAAATAAGAAAGGCAATAAATCTTATATGATGCTAAATTATTAACCTATTTTTCTCTTCTTACAGGATTGACCTTTTAGTGGACTGAATTATCTACTCATTTTCAATTAAGTTTCCATATGGCAAATTGAAGCTGACCCTGTTACAATTAGAAAACTACACAGAAGAAAAGAGGCCATAAATATTGTGAGAGAAATTGTATTTTTGGATATTGTGTATTTAGATTTTTTCCAGCTCCCCAAAGAAAGAAAGAAAAGAAAAAGAAAAAAGAAAGAAAGAGCTGTTACAGTATGTTGGGTAAAATAGGCAATCAATTAACCTAAATAACTGTAAACCCCTCTCCTACCATAGGTCTCATTTGTTCCAGTATCCTCCATCATTGATTTGGTTTCCTTGTGTAGACTCTAGAAAGATTTTATTAAGGTGATGAAGTTTTAGGAAGATTCATTGTTA